TAATGTGTAAATGACTGATTGACACTTTAACTCTCTTAAGAGGTATTTGCATTTTTAAAAGGAGAAATATCCTCAATCCAAATAAATCTCTACAGGTAGAATTTAGGCAACATAACCAAATTAAATGACAAATTCTAAGGAAGGTGTTTTTGAGGGTGGAGTAGCATATATGCAGGTTTATCATTTGTTCTGAATATCAACTCCCATAAGTTATTCTGGATTTCTATAATGTGTACAGCTCCTATCACACACATATGTATATATGTATGTATATTTACACATACATACATTTAAGTTGCAGTACACATTCCAATCTATATTTTTAGAGGGAATTTCTTATACTAATGAAATAATATATATATTATGTTGTCCAAATATATGTGAATTTATATGTGTATGTATGCATATAGATATTTGTAGTTTATATGTGTATATACTCGCAAGCCTATACTTCTAAAATCACTTTTTTTCAAGAGTAGAGGCATGTTTTTTAATAGTGGGGTTTTCACTGTTGTCTTTTCTCTTCTCTTTATTATAGAGCAATTTTATATTTTATTTTTCCCTCTTCTTTGTCATGAAAAGGGTCTCAGAGCTCTCTCTCTTTCTTTCTCTCTCTCTCTCTCTCTCTCTCTTTCAGTGGGGAGCAGTAACCAGCTGTTCCAAAACTCCCAGCAAGAATCTTCCAATGCGAACCTGTCTGACTAATAATAAACCCCGGCAGAGGCTCATGATATATATATATATAAAACAGATCAGAACTCATAGAATAGAAGGTATATTTTTTATGATAAATTACAGCCTCTGCTTCTATTTCCAATAATCTATGTGTGTATGTCTTCTCTCTCTCATGAATCTTTATCTCCTTTCTGTGCATATATATTATCTGCCTGACTGGCATATAAGATTTACTATTAGAATTCGTTCATGTTAAGTTAGAAATGTAAAGTTGTTGTCTGATATTTTTTCATGAAAAAAAAAAGATTCAAACATTTTTCTTTGGGCTAAAATTTCCTCAATATGATTGAGGTAGCTAGATGACATAGTGGATAGAGTGATGGACTCCAAGTCAGGAAGACCTGAATTCAAATCGAGCCTTAAACACTTACTAACTATATGACCCTGAGCAAGTGACTTAACCTCTTTCCCCCTCAGTTTTCTCATTTGTAAAATAAAGATAATAATAGCAATTTCCACCCAATATTGTTGAGATAATAAAATGAGATAATATTTATAAACTTTAAAGACCTTAAAGTGTCATATAAATGCTAGCTATTATTATGGTGATGATCAGAGTATACTTTAAGTCTATTGCTTCATCAACTTACGTTTCTGCTTTCAAAGAAAGACCTATGATAGTATGAGTTGCTTGAGTTTTGTTGTTTTTAAGTCATTTCAGTTGTCTGACTCTTTGTGACCTCAGTTTGGGTTTTCTTGGCAGACATATCTCATATTACAGATGAGGAAACAGAGCAAACAGGGTTAAGTGACTTGCCCAGGCTCACTGGTTAGATTTGAACTCAGGTCTTTCTGACTCTAAGCCCAGTGCTATACTCATTGTGCCACTTAGCTGCTCCAAGTTGCTTAGAATAATCTGCCAAAACATACTGTTGCCCAAGAATAGAGATTACAGATTCATGACTTTCTTGGGATATGTATAAAAGAAGCACATGCTCATCATAAGCATCTTGCTAAAATATTTAGCACTCAGGCAATCCCTGTTTCAGTTGACATATGGGTAAATCCTATATCTATTTAGTAGGTGTAAGATGTGTGTTCCCACATAAGATGTGCGTGTCCACATGTGTTGTCTAAATATATAGATGTGGCTCATGGAAGGCATGTGCATGTATTTTTGGAATCCAACCCACTCCTCTCTCGGAAGATATGTAACTAGTTTATTTCTTCCCTTGACTATCTCCAAAAGCAATATTAGGTTAGATTTATATCTTTTTGTCCCTTTAAATATGCTGGTCTATTAGTACTAATTTTAGGGGTTCAAAACAAAAGCTATTTCTCTAGTTAATACTCTTTAGCTTAGATGGGGAGCATAGCCCCTTCATACTAATGACTGTCTCCCCAAAAATCTATCACAAATAGTGAACACTACTGAACACATTTATTCTAACAAAAAGAAATAAGAGAAGCAATAAAGATCAAACTGTGAAATACACAAGGTTAAATGATCTGTCCAGATGGGAGTGAGATATCTCAGTTCAAGTCAAGGGAGAGAGGACTTGATCTCCATAAATGGGAAATTCTCTTTCCAGAGTTTCTAAGAGAGCAACCTGGACATGTCAAGGAGCCCGTTTCTCCTACATATCTGCAGCATCTAAAGTATGTCTTTCTTTCCCTAAGAGTGTCTAGAACCATGCATGTCTCTCCTAAGAGCTCTGGTACCAGCTCTGCCCCTCTTTCAGGTCTAAAGTGTTGTCTAGGCATTCTCTTCAGTAATTGAGTCATATTCTCCACTGAAAAAATAGCAGCACACAAACTCTCCAGGCATGGGTGAAAGCACAGTTATACTCATACAGCCCTTATTTCACTTTGGATTTACATGTATCACCCAAGTTGCCATACTCATGTATGGGTCTCTCCTTTCAAGCTGTTTGTTACAGGTTCAATATACTCTCAATGTCCCTATCTGTCCCTATTGATGCATTTACTTTTAATAGTAGATCAGAGTATACAACTGGATAATTTAAAGGCATTTAATGGAATAGTATAAAAAGAAAATTAGTAATAGTACATGTCTACCTTTGTAACGTAGTTCAATACTCATCTCTTGAGTATGCTCAGGCCTCATAACATTTGCAACACACTCTCCTCTCAATCCCTCTTTCTCCTAGTTGTTGCTTGTCCCTAATTTTATACACCAGTCCTCTTCCTACTCTAAGTGTCACATAATGCCTCTGAAGATAGCATTCCTTTACTATCCTCCTTAATTTCTCCCAAGACACCTTCCTTTTATGTTGGAAAACGATGGCATCTACATGCCTCTTCATTGACTAGTCCAAAAATATCCTAGGCTCCCACAGAGAATCTAATTCTGATCTTTACTCTGTAATTTCTTCCACCTTAGTGAAGCACTGAATTGAAAGGTTATACCACATCCCCAATTCTACCCCCATGGTCTCTAAAACCTCCCCTTATGGAGCAAGTAGAATTCTGGTCAATTTTTTTCCTATTCCTCTTTTTTTTTAAACGTCTTAACCTGTATCCCAGTGACTGGATTTACATTCTGTTTACAATAGTGGAATTGTAGGTGGAATAATGGAACCATCATTATGAGTCTGATCTGAGGAAAATGGTTTACTCAGTTCTCCATCAACTCAGGGACAGTGTTGCTTGGATCATCTGGTCAAAGTGACCAAGGTCTGTACAGTGGAAAGGAGGTTTGGTTTAACCACATTCCATGGGACTGAGGTCTCTGACTGACCTCTAGTGGACTATTTCCTGCTTCCCTCTTTAAAAGTTCCATTTTTTTCTGATGACCCAGGACCACAGACATTACTGAGTCACATGATCCAGGGCTCCACACATAAAACTAGAGTCATGAACCAATACTTCAAATCAATTCAAATCAACAAATATTTATTAAGCACCTACAATGCATAAGAAAACATGTCAATGCTTGGAAGCCAGGTGGTCCCCAGTGGTGTGAATTTGGGCCTTATATAAAAGGAACCCTGTAGGAAATTCTCTATTGCTCTTAGTTTAGAGCTTGTTACCTCTTCTAGTGTTCAAATGAATCATTTAACTGAAAGAATATGTTCATGAATTTTACTAGGTAATCTCACATGGGGTGCCTGCTAAGTGGACTTAAAACCCTGTATTGAAGATCTCACTAAAATATTCACCAGAACCTCTTCTTCCTATTGTGTATCATTCATAACCTATGAGACTCATTCACGAGTTCAAACAAAAGTCTTGTACCCTCTTTTATACTTAGCATTGAAGCTACAATAAATTGTGCTCCAAATGGGCCATCGAACATTGAATAGAACTTTACCTCAGAGCTTTGGTAGTTGGCTGGTGATGTGTGCCTCTATCATGGGTGCCCTTCCTAGCTTATCGACCATGAAAGCAAATTAAACCTGATGACTGAAAAAAGTGTAGAGCTTGACATTCTATAACAGTCTTAGAAATGTTAAAGTTTCTCATCATTGCTCCTGGAGCATGAGTCAGGGATAGAATAACTTGTTTTTGTGGAACAGCTGGTATGGGTTGGAGGGAAGGTTGTTAGGGTCATCTGTATATCAGGCACTCTTCCATGATTCTCATAGCCAGTGGCTATAGTTTCTGTAACTGTTTCTCAAGGCTCTGTAATATTATTATCCCATCCAAAGTGAGAGGGAGGATAATCTAGCTTCATGATTTTGTTGGTGGAAATGTTAGGTTGCTATGTGATGTCACTAGGATAAGGATGCCTTCCTTATAAATGGAAAGAAAGAGGAAGATCTCCTGAAATGATTCAAATGAAAAGTACTAGGTTGGATTTGGCATCATCATTGTTTTCTTCCTTATGAATGAATGAAAAAAAAATCAAATACTATGTGCCAAATACTGAGCTAAACAATGGAGGTATAAATAGAAAAAGAAAATAGTCCCTGTTCTCAAGAAACTTGTACTGCAATTGGAGGAGAAGATACATAAATGAAGATTCAGCTGAAGGATGGAGAGAAAGGCCCTGGGATTCTCAAGTTCAACAGCAGGGCAGATGGAAATGCCCAAGAATCCTTAGGGTGCATCAGTGTGCTTGCCTTGCAGGGAGTCTTGAAAGGACTGACCCACCACAATTGGGAAATGGGGAAAGGCACTAGAATTTTAAGTGGAATAGGGAGTATATTGTGTACATTATAGATATATATGTGTTTATTCACATGAGACAAGTCAACAAGCATTTATATCAAGTGCTTACTCAGTGCCAGGAATTGTGCTAAATTCTGGGAATACAAAAATAAGCAGAAAGATAGTTTCTGCCCTTAAGGAACTTACATTCTAATGAGGAGGGATTGCACTTAAAAGGAAACTGAAAAGGTGGGGCATTACCATATAGAAGTCCTAGAGAGTCTGTAGCCTTTGGAGGAATGAAGACTTGGCCCAGGCATCTTCTTTAAAAGGGAGATTTGGGGAGAATCCAGTAATCAAAGGGAGAGGCCAAAGGGGCAGAGGGTACTTCCATTATGTGAAGTCCAGTGGTAAAGTGAGCTTCCAAGGTAAAGAGGTTTCTGGGGCATTTTAGAGAAAGTCCGGATGAGTCAGAAATGCAACCTAGAAAGGAAAGAAACATGACCCAAACTGAATTTGTAAACATCTCACATACTACAATCACCAGATAAGGGGTGAAAACTCAGGCCAAGCCCACCATTTTTCTCACTCCTTCCCAATATTCACATGATCAAAAAAATAATTGGACCAATTGCTATTTCTACACCAAGTAACTAACATTCCATTCATACACTACTCACCCAATGAATGGCCAGTCTCTGGCTTGACAAAACCTTGTAAATCAGTCCCCTTACTTCTTCCCCCATTCTTAAATATGTCAAAGGACTTCAGAAATCATTTGGCATTATGCTTCCATTACAGGTTACCTCTCTGTAGACAGATGGTGCAGTGTATAAAGTTCTGATCCTGGAGTCAAGAAAACCTGAGTTCAAATCTGGCCTCAGACACTTACTAACTGTGTGACTCTGGACAAGTCCTAAGAGACTTAAGAGCTCTCTGAGCCTTGGCTTCTTTAACTGTAAAAAAAAAAAAAATAATAATAATAAAAACAAACCTTCCTTAGAGTTGTTGTGACATATATATATGTGTGTGTGTGTGTGTGTATGTATATGTATATATATATATACATATGTATGTATATATACATACATATATAAATTGTCAGGCATGTGTACCTGAGGTCAAGTTTACCTTCTTGATCTCATCAATTCCCATTGATTCAGTTATCATCTCTATGCTGACAATTCTCAAATCTACTTATCCAGCCCTAATCTCTATGCTGGTCTCCAGTCTCACATCTCTAACATCTTGAATATCTTGAACTAGATGTCCTAGACATTTTAAGCTCAACATGTCCAAAACTGAACTCAATTATTATTGCCCCAAACTCTCTTCTCTTCTGAATTTCCCTATTATGTCAAGGGCGCCACCATCTTCCCAGTTAACTAGGCTCACAACCTAGGTATTATCTTCAGTTCCTCACTCTCTCTAACACTCCCCTAAAACCAATCTGTGGCCAAGTTCTATTCATTTTACTTTCATAATATCTTTTGAATATATCCCATTCTGAATATACCTCTTCTGACATTGCCATCACCCTGGGACAGATCCTCATTGCTTCGTGTCTGGACTATGGCAGTAGCCTGCTGGTTGGTCTCCCTGACACGTCTCTCTCCACTTCAATCTATCCATTCAGCCACTGAAATGATCTTCCTCAAGGGCCTGACTATCTGACCATATCACACTTACTGTGCAAACTCCAAGGGCTCCCATTCTCAGGATCGTCTGTTTGGTGTCCAAAGCCCACTTTCATGGCCTACTTCCTTCTTTCTAGTGTTCTTAAATCTTCCCTTCCCCCACATACTCTGCAATCCAGTGACACTGCTTTCCTGGAAGTTCCTCAAACTTACTCTATCTCTGGACTAGGAGCATTTTCACTGAATTCCATGAATTTTCTCTCTTTACATCTCTGTCCCTTGGCTTCCCTGGCTTCCTTCTAATCCCAGCTAAAACCCCACCTTCTACAGGAAACCTTTCTTGATTCCCCTTAATTCTAGTACTTTCCCTGTTGATTATTTCCAATTTTTTTCTGTAAATAACTTGTTTGTACATTATTTGCATATCATCTCCCTTATTAGACTATGAACTCCATGAGAATAGGGACTATCATTTGCTTTTCTTTGTATCCTCAGAACGCAGTATCTGGTACATAGTAGGTGCTTTCTAAATGCTTATTGACTTCACTTGAGTAGTTCACTTCTTCTGGACACTCCAGCTTATTGGTGTCTTTCTTAAAATGTAGCTTCCAGAACTCAACATAATAGTTCAGATGTGATCTAACTAGGAAAATTATGGTGGAATTATTATCTCCCTTACTTCAAACACTAAATCTCTCTCCATGCAGCCTGGAATAGCATTAGAACTACAATAATATGACAGCTTCCATGCCAGGTTTACAATCTACTTGTCTAACACTTCATTTAATTTTTCTTTTTGTCTAGGTGGCCTTTAGCATACCTATATAACAATATTGGGATGTATGGGGTGTTCAGGAAGGACTAGTACCTCTGGTGTAAGGGCTGCTTTCCACCTTTGGTGTTCACCTTTCACCCGTCTCTTACCTGTGGTTCCAAGAATCTGCAGCATGCAAAGCAGCCACACCCTAGTAAAACCATCATGGCAGATGGGCTAAATCAGGTTGAGGATAACCTACAGACCTAAAATTCATTGATGAGTTAGGTGGGTATATACTCCAAGCTTGTGAAGACTTCCCCTGGAAGAATGGGTGGATGAGAACAGTTTGTTCCAATGACCATGCAGGCAGCTGAAGCAGGTGTTGTGCTTAAAGCTTGGTCAAGCATTGAAGACCTCAAGGTCACCTACTGCATCTTGAACTATCGCCAGTTGTCTTGACTTTTGTCCTGCTACTGGACTTCGATGACTCAGGAAGAATGAGGGAGGGTGACAATTCTGAGCAACTCTGCTTCACTTAAATCCAATTCACAAAATACCACTCTATCCCCACATGCCTCAAATTTGGTATCTGGTATTTCGTCTGAAAAAAGGGTACCTTCCAAAACCAAATTCTAGGCACAGTCCAATCCTACCAATTATCAGGCATGTGTACTTGAGATTAAGTTTACCTTCTTTCATTAAGATCGCTCTGCTTAATATCCTTACTTTGTACATTTCTTTATAGATATCTCAGAGTATGAGTTCTATTGTTATTCTCTTCTTGAACATTGTCTCTCATGAATTACTTATTGGTTTTCTCCGGCTGTTCTTCCTACTATATTCTTCCTGTTACTTTCTGTGATTCCCCAGGTTTGTCACATCGATGTGGGTAGTTCTTTTTCTCTACTGCCCTCATTGATTTAAGGTCTTATTGATTACAATCACAAGATTCCAGATAAATAAGTCTATACCAGCCATTATTATATACACTCTATCTTTCACCAAGAGCACATCATACCTATATTTTTAAACCATGATCCCCTTGTCAGCTTCCTCTTCCTCCTCCCTCTTTTCTGCTCCTCCCCTTCTTCCTGCTTCTGCCCCTCTCCCTCTTCTTCCTCTTTCCCCTCCCCCTTCCTCCTTCTTCTCCTTCTTCACCTTCTCTTCTTCATCTCCCTCTTCCTTCTCTTTCGCTTCCTTCTCCTCTTAAACCTCCTCCTAATCCTCCTTCTTCTCTTCCTTCTCCTCCTCCTAATCTTCCTCATTATCGTTATTCTTCTTCTCCTTTTCCTTCTTTTTCTTTTTCTCCACCCCTCCTCCTCTTTCTCTACTTTCTTCCTCCTTTTTTCTCCTCCTCTTTCTTCATTTTCTTCTCCTTTTTTCTCCATCACTCCTCTCCCTCTTCCTCCATTTCCTCCTCTTTCTCTTCCTCCTCCTTCTATTCCTCTCCTCTTCATTCATTCATTCACTCATTCTTCTTTTTCTTCCTTCTCTTCCTCTTTTTCCTCCTCTTTTCCACTATTTTCTCCTCTTTCTCCACTCGTTCCTGCTCCTGCTTCTCTTCCTCCCTATTTTACCCAGGATGAAAATGCAGAAATTTCTCACAAGCCAGATACTACTCTGATTTGGGAAGGAAATTTTACCTTTTTTGTTTCCAGCCTGGGCTGGTTGTCCCTTAACTTAGGTGATCTAGTGATGTTCCAATTCCCTAGGGATTCACCATATTAATGCTAAATGTAGTATGGATACTGTAGCTCAGAGTTTTTAAGCTCAGGCTATCAACCAGCCTTAGCCTCCTCAGTGGCAGGGATTACAAGTATGCACCATCATGGCTGGCAGATTCCATTTTTTTAGTTAGCTATTCAGTTCCTAAACATGCATTTCTCTTTTGAAGCCCCTAGCCCTTATTGGTAATATTGGTGAAAATAATGATGATGATGATGATGATGATGATGATAGTTCACATTTATATAGTATTTTAAGGTTTATAGGACACTTTGAATAAATGATTTTATTTGATACAACAATTGTCAAAGTAAATTTCGTCTCCACATTACAGACGACTGAAAAACAGTTCCTGCTCTCAAGGATCTCACGGTCTAATGGAAAAAGAAGAAAAAGTAGGAAATATAGGACATGTAACTGAAAAAAAAGGGGGGGAGAGCATCCACACAGAGATATAAATAATATATTGTGAAAGTACAGAGATGACTTGTGACTGAGAGAATCAGAGAATATGTTACAGAAGAGATTTTATTTAGGTTGAGATAAGTAGAATTCAATAGGTGAATATACTTGGGAGAGAGGATATTCCATAGTGGGAAGGGTTATATCCCAAGCCTTTAAAGACCTGCTGTTTACATGATGGCAATGAGTGGTAATGGATTGTTAATTACATAAATTGATCCCTGCTAAAGTATTGGCTGGCGAAGGAAAAGACAAACCACTACAGTATCTTTTCCAAGAAAACCCCAAACGAGGTCATGAAGAGTTGGACATTAGTGAAATGAACAAAGCACAACAACAAAATATTTGCTAGTTGTTATATTAACTCTCTTAGATAACATAAGGTTCTGAGCTCCATTCCTTCCTTTCGCTCTAGACATTGTACACAACACTGAAATTTGCTATCCAAATATTGTTTTGCTATTTCATCCACTACTCAGTTTTGCACTAGTCTGGCTATGTTTGGTTCTGATGATAATGAGACCAAGAAAAGATATGGAGGATTATATAAGGAGTCATGTGAAACTTCCAGGGTCTGGCGCTTATAGGAAGCATTTTGTTGTGAGATAAACTAATTCCTAGTCTGACTTCTTTTCTGGTAGTTTGTTCTTCTGTAATTTCACTATAACCCAAATCCCATGTATTTATCTTTCATATTCAAAGTTGGTCCTTAACCCAAGATCTTTAGAAATGTTTCACTTGGATGAATGCCAATCCAACCCTTTGCAGAGACTATATCAAAAATTGGATTAGAAAACCTAATTCTATCCTTTCCATGAGTTTTCTAGTTTGGTCAATAATTATTCAGCTTTTTTGTCTCTTAACTCCAACATATTGATTCTGATGGTAACCAGAAGAAACAGGAGAAAAGGGGACTAAAAAAGGAGTGAAGACTTTTACAGGATGCATGGTTTCCTGGAAAGCCTGGCTGACTCAACATTTCAGCTCCTTTTTTTTTCCCATCAGCTTTTCATTTCCTTGCTCCCATTTTTGGGCACCTCACAATCCATCCTTCTTACCTCTGCATTATAGGCATAAATATCACTGCCCACTCAATCTTTTTTTTTTCTCTTACAGTCATGGGGTTCATAAAGTCTTAGCAACTCTCCATTGGGTCTCTTATTCACTATTTCCTGGAAATAATTAGGTTGGTTGGGAGAACAAGAGACATAAAGAGGTTTCCCTGTCATTTGCACCCCTAAGTGTACCAGACTCATCTTGGAAAGCCCCTTTTGTTTGGTCCTTAAAATCAAAGGCTCCTTGCTTTTGAAGTGATACAGAACCTCCCATTACGGAAATAAAGGAATTGACCTCAATGTTCCTGGGGAAACAATGGTGAGAAAACATGCAAAAGAGGCCTAAGGAAAAAAGCAGTCAAGGAAATACACTTTATTGCAGTAACAAGACTTTCTAGGCAAACAGTAGTGAGGTTTTCTGAGCAAACAGTGAAAATTAAGCCTGGAGAGTGAAAGTTCTTCTGAAAAGTTCTTCACAGGCTTCTTAGGCCAGGCAACAGTTAGGCCCAACAACTCACTTAATATTCCAGAAGTCACTAGTGAGGCCCAAAAGGCAGCATTTTATTAGCCAGTTGGAAAATTGGATGAGTCTGTGGGACTGCAAGGGGGACTGGGAAAGTAGGAAAGGGGGATACAAGTGTTAACTGCCTGTTCATTTGCTCTATTCCTATAGGAATGTCCCACAGGGGCATTTTCTATGAGCTTTTTAAGGGGTGAATGACAACCTTTTATAAAGTTTGGTAATGGATGACTTTAGCCATACTGATTCTGATTCATCCACCTTAAAAGCACAGACCTTTCAAAACCTTTAGGTAATTCCCTATTTCTGGAAAAAGAGGAATAAAATATTAAAAATGGCCCTGGTGGGACCAGAATGTGGGGCTTTAAAATTGTTCTCAGGAAGCATGAATTAGTATTTAAAAAATCATACTTCCTAAATATTTGAGCAAATATTGCCATGTTATTTTATACTCTGATTTCCCTTTCCTAAGCTAAGATAAAATATTGGAGAAAAAAAAACCCTGAAAACAAAAAAAAGGTTAGTGATGATTTCATGTGGCCGTACTACTAGTTTGTAGTATGACTGTTAAAATGTAAGTTCCTTGAGAA